ATTCAAAAAGGGAAAATGTCAACAGGCTGTGCAAGACATTCAGTGGTGGTAACTGTTAGCACAAGATAAGCATTTTAAACATAGCTGCTCAACTATTACAGGTACCTGCCACAATGCTCAGCTTGCTTTTTTTTCCTTTCTATTTGGAAAAAAAGATAGGGCCTGGCTTTTGCTCAGGCTGGTCTCAAACTCTTGAGCTTCAGAGCAATCCCAAAGTGCTAGGATAACTGGTATGAGCCACCACACCCGGCCAGGTGTTATTTTTGATGCCATGTTCAGAAAACAGGTTCAGGAGAGAGCATATGGTGAGGCTTGAGTGGGACTTGTATGTGTGTGCTCCATATTCCACTCCCCTGTGGGCCTGAAGTGAGGCCTTGGTGGTTGCAGGCCGGAAAATAAATCTCCTTGGACACCATCCTGGCAGTTAAAGAAAGCAGAGGGTGCTTCTGGAAAAGGGGCCTCCTATAGTCTGAATGTTGATGCCCCCCCAAGTCCATTTGTTGAAACTTAATCCTGGATGTGATAATTAAGAGGTGGTACCTTGAAGAGGTGAATAGGTCATGAGGGTGAATAGGATTTGTGCCCTTACAAAAGAGGCTGGAGTAAGCCTGTTTCCTTCAGCCATGTCAGGATGCCACTAGAACATTGGTTCTCAACCTTCCTAATGCCGAGACCCTTTAATACAGTTCCTGTGGGTTGCAACCCACAGGTTGAGAACGGCTGCACTAGAAGATAACAGCATCTATGAAGCAGAGAGAGCCCCCACCACACACCTCATCTGCTAGTGCCTTGATCTTAGATTTCCCAGCCTGCAGAACTATGAGCAATAAATTTTTATTATTTATAAATTACTCAGCTTAAGATATTTTTTTGTTTAGCAGCCAAAATGGACTCAGACAATGAAAGTGTGGGGAACATGGAAGGATGTCAAGTGATCTGGATAGATTTTCTAGGGCTGTGAAGTTCACCTAGGGCTCTATTCCTCTAGCAAGAGAAAGGCAGAAATTGAGCAGGGCTGTATTTGTTCTCCTGAGCTCATACTTTGGGAGGAAACTTCCTAAAACATCCCACAGGAACTAGAATTACACTGAAGGGTTGGCTGGGGTGGCTGGGGGAGCTAGCTCACCATAATGTCCACTATCCTCCTAAGTAACTGCTACTTATATTATATCTATCTATACAAATAGACATACATAGGGTGTTGGGGAGGGACAAATTTTTTTTTTTTTT